AATCCTTAGTGTGGATAGCTAAGGTAGTGGACGTAGACTTTGGTTGAGAAAACTGAACCACTCTAAATCGCTGCGCAATTACTTTCAATTTTCTGCACAAGCTTCCACCGGAATTTTTATTTTCCAATTCACCCCCCTCTTGGCCATATTCATAGATCGATTAACTCAACAGAATAATAGGACTCGAACAATCTTTGACAAACGGGTATGTTCCCTATTCTTTCAGGGAGTATAAAACTCAAACAATATTCAGCAAACGTGTCCGTTCCTTATTCTTTCAGGGAGTATAGGACTCGAACAATCTTTAGCAAACGTGTCTGCTCCCTATTCTTTCACGGAGTATAGGACTCGAACAATCTTTAGTAAACATGTCTGCTTCCTATTCTTTCAGGGAGTATAGGACTCGAACAATCTTTAGCAAACATGTCTGCTCCCTATTCTTTCAGGGAGTATAGGACTTAAACCATCTTCATAAAACGTGTTTGCTCCCTATTCTTTCAGTGAGTATAGGACTCGAACAATCTTCAGTAAACTTATCCAATCTCTATTCTTTCAGGGACTATAGAACTCGAATAATCTTCAGCAAACGTGTATGCTTCCTATTATTTCAGGGATTATAGGACTCCATCAATCTTCAGTAAATGTGTCTACTCTATATTCTTTCAGGGAGTGTAGGACTCAAACAATCTTCAGCAAACATGTCTGCTCTCTATTCTTTCAGGGAGTATAGGACTCGAACAATCTTCAGCAAATGTGTCTGCTCCCTATTCTTTCAGGGAGTATAAGACTCAAACAATCTTCAGCAAACGTGTATGCTCCCTATTCTTTCAGGGAGTATAGGACTCGAGCAATCTTCAGCAAACGTGTATGCTCCCTATTATTTCAGGGAGTATAGGACTTGAACAATCTTCAGAAAACGTGTCTTCTCCCTATTCTTTCAGGGAGTATAGGACTCAAACAATCTTCAGCATACGTGTCTACTCCATATTCTTTTAGGGAGTATAGGACTCGAACCATGTTCATAAAACGTGTCTTCTCTCTATTCTTTCAGGGAGTATAAGACTCGAACCATATTCATAAAATGAGTATACTTTACTATTCCTTCAGGGGAGATCAGACTCGAGATTGATTTGCTTCACTATTGTTTCGTGAAGGCTTAAGATTAATTTGTCTCACTACTCTTCCATGAAGGCTTAAGATGATTTGATTCACTACTCTTCCGTGAAGGCTTAAGATGGCCCAAAGGACTTATCATCTTGCTCGGAAGCCTGACAAATTACCCGAAGGATTTAATCATCATGTTCGAAAGGCTTACTGATGGCTTGCTTCACTACTCTTCCGTAAAGGCTTAAGATTGATTTGCTTCACTACTCTTCCGTGAAGGCTTAAGATCTATTTGCTTTAGTACTCTTCCGTGAAGGCTTAAGATTGACTTGCCCCAATCTCATGTTTGTAAGTTATTTTAATCAATTGATTTGCTTCTCTATACACGAGAATCTTTGTTTTTTCTCCTATATCTGATAGTCCTCACGTCAAAGTAATGCTTCTTCTGAGGATTAGACCTCTCTGTTCTTCAGGGAACATGATTCTTTATGTTTGAGGTTTAGAATATTTCTTTCAGCTTGTCAGGCTTTTGACATCATGAATCTTCTCTTGTCACTTGAAAATATGTCAAAACCATGTGTTTAAATGCAAATGGAATTAAATGTAATGTATTTTCTTTTACGCAAATGTTGTTCTTAAGAATGCATAAATGTTGATTCAATCTTCATTTGACTCCAAAGTGGGGAACTCAGTCTTTTTCCACTTGATCACTCCTTTCTAGAGTTTATTTTAGATATCAGTGAAACAACTTATGCTTGTAACTTTTTATCCTTATAAAAATGAAATTCATGAGTGCTCCTGTGAAATTGACTATAATAGGTGTTCCTTAACTCCCTTAGTCCATCTTTACTGAAACTCCTTATTTAGATAAATTGCCATTGTTTGGCTAGATGAATTCATCTTTATTGTGTATATATTATAATCGCCTTTATCGGGCTAGCAGAAGGGTTCATCTCATCACAAAATCTTTGACTTGACAATTGCAGTAGAACAAATACTGAACTGCCAAGTACCCGAACAATGTCATGGTTTGAATATAATCTATTCATAAAGCCACGACTTTTGAGTTTCCTCTATAACCAATTGCTTTAGTGGAATAACTCAGCTTTATTTGTGTACATATATAATTACATTATGGGTATACAGATTCAACTTCTTAAGCTTGTTAAGAAGAACCTATTATAGTCTAGGTGTTGTTGAAAGTTAGAAAATATCATCCTTAGAGTTTAATTTCCAAGCAACTGGCCTAAACTAGATTCACCTACTCGATTATTCCATCTGTAAAGATCATGATCATCATTGAACGTCCTCAACTGAAGTGTAGTCTATTCAGTTTTGTAACATCATACATAAGAGATGCCCCATGTTATCCGCTCCTATGCATACTTGAATACCAAGCCTCTTGTTCATTCCCTTATAAGAGGATAAGGTTATATCGGTCCCCGCAATAGAAATGTATGCTGTTCGATTGTATTTTCCGGGGGTAATATCCAAGGTCCTTGTTTTATCAGTTTTTAATCATGTCACTTTGTCAAAGAACTCTAACTCTGATCATTTACAGATTTTTTAATTCAGTTGATATTGAAATAATTTCAAGTTGCAAATTCAATTCAATGCTCACTCTCTTTAAAGTAACATAAGTTTATTTAAATATTTACAAAAAACTGATAAAGGATAAAAAATAAATTCAAACAAGATGTTGCAAATGAAATAAATCTTCATGATGGAATGAAATAATATCTTCCTAATTAGGATGCCATAGTACTCATCTAATGCAGCGGTACTTGACCCATACGGATGTTACACATTGTGCCTTGATACCCCACTCGAGTTTGTCATCCAATGTTCCACCAATTCTTGTGTCAACGTCCCGTTTTCAAAAAGTTTATCTATTTCCTTTAGCAATAACCTACAATTCCCCGTAGAATGCCCCAATGCCCCCAAGTGGAAGTCACAAGATGTGGCCATAAGGGTTGGGTTGCACTTTCACTGGCCTCGGTGTGAGGTATCACTAGTAGAAAAAACCCCTTTAATGACGCGCATTGCGCGTCATCTATGGGTGCGGATGACACATATTTACCTATCGTTGAAGCCACCGACATGAATTTCAGATGATGCGTAGCTGTGTGTCATAAATATATGACGCGCATTTATGACACACATTTATGACAAAAATTTATGACGTTCATTGAGTGTCATTGAAGCCCCCGTCATAAATTAAGATGACACACATTTGTGCGTCATAAATTTATGACACGCATGTATGACTTACATTGCGCGTCATTGAAGCCCCCGTCATAAATCTGTTTGACATACATTTGTGTGTCTTAAATTTATGACACGCATGTATGACTTACATTGTGTGTCATTGAAGCACACATCATTAAAAAAGAGGACAAACGTTGGTTTGTCGTGATTGTATTTCGTAAATTATATATATATATATATATTGTAGATTGACAAATAATCAAACTAAATCACATTGAATGCCTCATAATACTAAATCTATGTATCATATTATATATAAGCAATCCATTTGCATACAATATATTCACGTTAAGTTATAAAAAATATTGTATTAATCATATGTCGATACAAAATATCAAGGCACAATAAAGTTTGCCACATAAGATACCCATTCTTTGCGAATATCATCAATGTCATCATCCGTGTATTCTTCTTTCCCATCGCCAACCTAAGTAAAAAATATGAAATAAGTATATAATTTATACTTATTTAAATTGAAGTATATAATGAACTATTAAAGAGTACTAAAATGACCAATTTTACATATGCATTCTTTGAAGCATAATAACATTATGCAAAGTCATCAAATCAATAGCATTATAAAAAGTACCAACTTTGTTCACAACAATATCACCACAAATAATAACATTATGCACTATATGATGTGAAAATCAACGATGTATATGCTTTCAATAAAAAAAAATATATGGCATGAACAACTGAATCAACCTCATGTTCTTCCACAATGGAGCTCTAATTTTTTAACTTTTGGCACCATGATTCCTCGTGCTAAAATGAATTATCTTTTGCTTCCTAAATTCATCAAACTCACAAAGCTTCAATATGACTTATTGATCATAAAATCTCATTTTTGTCCAGTTCGCATCCAACAAGAAAGTGAAAGTAACAATTGCATCATCTAGAACTATTGAATCTACAGGACATAAAACTCGACAATCATTTGTTGACCTTTTATCACCACAAGAGAGTCCCTATTACGTCTAGAGTACTTGAAAAAATAAAATTTTGGATTTTAAGTGCTAGTACGTGTCAAATGCTTTCACAACTCCATCGAACATTTCAAATTATTCCTTTAGACATTGATTCATATATCGAAAAATATTATCGATTGCCACATGCGTAAAATGTGTAATTACATTCAAGAATTCACTCATTACTTATAACAGAATCTATAAGTAGAAGCAAATAACAAGAAGTTTACCATCAATGTAATCTTTCACTAAGTTAAATTCACAAGATTTTTAAGTTTGTTTCAAATTATAAACGATAACCTACATTCTATACAGAAACATGAATCATCAAAATAAAAAAAACATTTCAAACTACAAGGTGATAACTAGAAGTCTAGAATAGCATCTAACTATGAGTTTTTCAGCAGAAATAAAAAGAGCATGGCAATTCTTATTAATATGAATAGACAAGATGTTATCGTAGATGAATTTCCAATAATATCATCCTACTTCAAGTCCATATGATAGTTCTACGACTAATATGTATGTATGATATGACAGATGTATATCAGAAAAGTTTGCTTACATTCTTATTGACCAGCACTTGAAGTCCGTTCTCGACTATCTCTTTCATGAACTTACAAACATAATATCCACACTCGGTACCTCCCGACTGACGGGGACACTACAAACAATTTACAATAAACGATTAGTCAAATTGAAAGCTGCAATTTAAACCAGAAATGATCGTTCGAAGTCCTCACCAAAACATTGATCCAATTGAGGCTAACCCTTTTGTTAGATCCACTTTGAGTGGTGTACAATTTTATTGCCCTATAAAATTGATAAATATATCAAAGAATATACTATAATGTTTTGATAATTTATGTTACTTACGCATCAATAACTTGCTTCAACTGCTGATGGACATTGGTAGGCCCCAAGCAATCAAGATAATAACAACTTGTTGCTTTCATATCTATCACCGCCAACACCCAATGTCTTTTATAAAAACGAAAAACCAAATTAAGTTTCTAAAATATATTGATAATCAAATGAAAAAACAAACACGGGATTATATGGCATTAGGACGATGTCATTGTCCTTTCTTAGAGACAATCGATCTGTAATACTTCGAATTGCCTTATCGCTATTTTTGAATTTTGCCTTACGTCCTGATGGCGATATTGCAGACGGGCTCATAAAACAAATTCCATGATCTATTTTTGGCCCATTCTTGATTTCCTCAAACAAATACCTATATATTAACATTAGACAAGTACGATGATTAAATATATTGTGTTTGAATAAAATTAAAATTATGCACTTACATCATATAACAAGTAATCGCAGAACCGGTCATCTCATTCACAGTAAAAACCACTTCAAAATCTTCCCAAGTTATGTACGTGAAACTCTCGTACCCAAACATATCGTCCTCACATTGCACTTTCACGGACTCCACATTTTTAAGTTGTATATCAACCATACGTGCAAAAACTTTCAAAACACGGTTGCTTTCAACTCTTAGCCTTGTCCTCATTTGTGCTCTCGTCCTACTCCTTTGCGGTGTTCCCTCATCCTTTTCTTTCTTTTTTTTCCTTTTCGGTGTCCCTTCTCCTTTCTCCTCTTCCGTTTTCCTTTGCAGTGTCCCTTCTCCTTTCTCCTCTTCCTTTTCAACAAGTTCTCTTTGTTGTTTTTTTCATTTATTACTTTCTACTTCATCTCCGTTCACACGTTTTTTCCCATAAACGCCAACACTTTTTCCTACAAAAAAATATAAATATATCATTTAAATTAGACATATATAATTTCTTTAAATAAATGAAAATATTACCAAATCAGAGCATCGAATGACTAGATGTCTAGGCAACTTCATTAGGAACCCCACTTCATCTTTAACCTTGTAAATGAACTCCTCATCTAGTGGAAACGGTAGTAAAGCGTCTCATTGCACACTTATTTCCATCATTACTTCAACGTTTTCACCTGTTATATAAAGTTATTACTATGATACAATATTCTAAAAAGTCAAAAAGAAAAATGATATTTTTTGTAATACCTGATAGATCATTGTGCTTCACTATCATTCCTTTGGCAACTATATTGGAGGCAATATCAATCGCAAGATAACAGGAAGTATCCTACAAATTATATATATATTAGTTGTAGTCAAGACTTACATTTAATTCATACTATAATTTAATAAGACTTACAAGTAATTCCTCGGGTGGGTTATCTTCAAAATCTGCTTTGCCCCACCCTTGGCAACTTGCGCCTTCAGAAGCATGATTCATCCATTTTTGTAGTTTCTCTATTGCACCTTCAATTTGGTTGAACCTTTTATCAATCTTTTTCTTCTCACCATCTAAGTAGTTCTTCATGGTATTGGGTAAGTAAAAGTATTGGTGTGGCATTACAAATTTTCCCATCCCTCGTACACGCCCACGTTGTTCCTGGGTACCTAGGGCTTGGGTAAGCATGTCATTTGTTCCACAACTGACCTCTCCTAAAGTTTCTGACTTCTGCATCTCTTCTTGTAGTAAAAGCAAATATTCATATTCAAAATATTCAAAGGATTAAAACTCATATGGTTCTATAACAATAAGATGAAAATAAATAAAGTAGGAATGTTCATAGGAACTTACCATTTTATCAACAATAATCTGGACATTCGGGTCATAACCTCCTTTTTTCATTTGTCTTGCCTTTTTCCACAACAATGTTTTATCAATCTCGTCTTCCTCCTTTCCCGTTTCTTGCATATAAATTAAAAAGAATAACAACAATGAATTAACATAAACAATTGCACATATAAACTATTCAACTAATTTACTACATACAATCTCAAGAGTTAGTTCAGCATATCCCTTTCTACTCAACCGATAATTGTATCTATGTTGTCCACGCATTTTTTTTGTTTTCTGACTAATTTCCTGCATTAGAAACATTAAAACAATCAAGACTGGTTTCTAAAACTAATATATATAACAAATACAGACTGGTTTCTAACCTCCCACTTATTTGAAAGTCTTTGCGATATAAAAACCTTCCACTCATCTATCTTTAAATAAGGATACATCTTTGGAGGGTTGAGCAAATTTGCATTAGGGTCATTCTTAAACTTCTCAATGAATTTCTTATACAGATAATGCTTAAAGTTCTTCCACTTTGTCCCAATGGATTGAAGGGTGTTCTTTCGACTCCTTGGATCAAGTTCAAAATTCATCTGAAACATAAAGCATTAATTAAAAAAAATATTGTTTTAACAAAAAAAAAGATTAATTGGAAGTTAAGATCAGATGTTAGACATAACAAAATGTATTGCCATAAGTCTTCTTTTTTTCCTGTTCATCATCTCGCCAAGTGGCATAAGTGATAGGCACCATTGATCTTGCTACCATGCCCTCAAAAGAAGCAAGTTTCGTTGCTTCAACGCCAATCGGAACACCTTTTTTATTGTAAGTAACGATAACTTTTCCTTTAGTAGTTTTCCCCTTTATTGTCAGGCCTCTTTGTTTAGAGTCTTCATTATGACTAAAAGACTGATCCGATTCCTTGGTACCAAGTACAACCTGTTTTAACATGATTCAAATAAAAAAAGTTAGTACATTGCTATTTCTTGCAGTTGGGACAGAATTAATAACATACAGATGTTGAAATAAAAACATACCAAAAAGTTCAAAAAGATTTTATTTTGTACAAAATATTTTAAATTAATATGCCCTCGCCATCCGGGCGTGTACACAAGAAATCATCATCAAGTTCTACTAAATGTGAGTCTTGTGAAAAATCAAAAGTAGCATGGTATTCCAACATATCATCAGTTTCACCATTTTCTCCATACTTGTACATCTTATGTGGTGTGAAGCCGACAACAGACAAATTTGCATCTTGTTGATATTGAACATAAAAAACTTGTTTGGCTTGACTAGCTAATATGAAGCGTTCAGATTGGTGATCAAGCCTAGAAAAGTTAACCATTGTGAATCCAAAATCATCTTTTTTTATTCCACGACTATCAACCCAATCACACATGAAAACAGGAACAGTGAATATGCGATAACCAAGATCCCATATCTCATGTATACGACCATAGTAAGTAACAGCTCCATACATAGGATTTGAGTCTTTTGAACTAACAATCTGCTTAACATGTGCAACTAGAGATACTCCACTACATTGAGTTGTTCTTGATTCATCTCGAGATGTTGTATGGAACCGATACTCATTTATGCCAAAACTGATATATTTCTTCACAGCAAAACTTGGCCCTTTGGCCAACCAACGAACACTCTCACAAATGTCTTCCCCTTTAGCGAAATGTGTATCAACCTTGGACTTAAGCCAACTAATAAATGTTTGACTGTGCTGAGTCTGCAACCATTTACTATTTCGAGAGGCACGAGGGTTATGATCCTTCAATTCCAACATATGTTGCCTAAATAATATTTGAAGATAGAATCATATTAGAAGTTATAAAAAGTTTAATGCATTACATAGAGTACAAAGAAGACACAGTGGTTCTTACTCTATATACGGCTCCACATCAGCAGTGTTTCGTAATACATAAAGATGAGCTTCATCAAGTAGCTTAGCATCTACAACCTCGATTGTACCCCGTGATAAAGGTTTACCGGTGCGAATTTTTTCATCAACACGTTCATGAGGATTGCCAATTGATTTCATGTTTTTTAAGTAGTCTGAGCAAAATTCCAAGGCTTCCTCTGCCACATAACATTCTGCAATACAACCTTCGGGTCGATGATGATTCCGTACATAGCCTTTGAGTGTTTTCATGTATCTCTCAAATGGATACATCCACCTAAAATGAACCGGGCCACATAACCTCACCTCTCTAACTAAATACACCATCAAGTGGATCATGACATCGAAAAACGAAAGAGAAAAATACTTCTCTAACAAACACAAAGTTAATACGATGTCACTTTACAACTTGCCTAGCTTATTAACATCAACAACTTTACTACACAACACGTTGAAAAAATAACACAAACCTAAGATTGTTTTCCTCACTTTCACATGTAACACCCCCTTTATTGCAAAAGGGAGAAGTTGTTGCATCAGTACATGACAATCATTAGACTTCAAACCATTCATCTTTGATACATCATCAGACACGAGATTCTTGAAATTTGAACAATACCCATCAAGCACTTTTATGGTAGAGAGGGTCTCGTAAAACTGATGTTTTTCTATGGTATTCAATGTGTAGCACGTAGGCGGAAGCCAAGTACGAATTCCTCTTGGTTGAGTTTGTAATTCAGGCTTAATGCTCATCACCTCAAGATCTTGTCGTGCTCTTAACCCATCATTCGTCTTGGCAGACAAATTCAACAATGTCCCATAAACACTCTCACACTTATTTTTCTCTAAGTGCATAACATCTAACTGATGACGAACGAGCAACTTCTTCCAATATTCAAGTTCAAAAAAATTGATTTATTTTGCCAAAATTTAGCTCTCTCATCTATGCTTTATTTTTCCTTCTTTGACGTTTCTTCTTTGACGTTTTCTTCTTAGTTGTTGTCTTCTTACCCCATGAAGTCTCAAACCCCGTCAGATAGTCGTAAATCTCTTCACCTGATAATGGTTGTTTTATAACATAATTCTCTTGTTGATTGTTGAAAAAAAAATTTCTTTTACGAAGAGGATGTTGAAGTGGCAGGAATCTTATATGACTAAGAAAGCATACTTTTTTCGAATTTGGCAACCACTGTGAATAAGTATTCTCTCAACATATTGGACACACATAATAACCTTTGGTAACATACCCCGAAAGATTACCATATGCGGGAAAGTCATTTATAGTCCAAAGTAATATTGCTCTTAGATTGAAGTATTCTTTCTTATAAGCATCGTATATCTTCACACCAGTTTCCCACAAGAGTTTTAGATCTGCTATCAATGGTGCCAAGTAGACATCAATATTGTTACTAGGTTGTTTTGGACCTGATATCAATAGAGTCAACATCATGAATTTTCTTGTCATGTACAAATAAGAGGGTAGATTATAAGTTATTAAGATAACCGGCCAACAGCTATACTTGGAACTTAATGACTTGTGAGGTTTGATACCATCAGCGGACAAGGCTAATCTAAGATTTCGTTTTTCTTCTCCGAATTCTTTCCACGTTATATCAACAAGCTTTCAAGAGGGGGAATCGCGAGGATGACTTAGCATACCATTATTAGCCCGACCTTGTGCATGACAAGTTAAGTCTTGTGCCATTTCTGGTGACGAAAACATTCTCCTAAATCTGGGGATGGGAGGAAAATACCATAAAACTTTTTAAGGTACATTTTTGGTATTATTCTTCCAATGAGATGTGCCACAAGTTCGACATTGAGAAGCTTCCTTATGTTCTTTCCAGAATAAAACACAATTGTTTTCACATGCATGAATTTTTCATATTGTAGACCTACTCCTTTTAGAAATTTCTTGGCATCATATAAGGAGTTAGGTATTCTATTGTTTAATGGTAAGACATCTTTTAGGGCACCTAACAATACTTCAAAACTAGCCTCAGACCACCCAAATTGACCCTTGATATATTGGAATTTCAATAATCTACTAAGTGCATTATACTTTGACCCTACGTAAAGTGGCTTCTCACATTCTTCAAGAAGTGACTTCAATTAATCGGGTTCTTTTTCTACATCTCTGAAGGCATCATGTAGCATATCTCTTGTATAATCAAAGTCGGGAGGAATAGATTTGTTAGGGCATCTAGAATCAAGCTCGAGCTGTCTTTCTCCATGGAAAGACCAAACCTTATAACTTTCATCGAAGCCATAGGAAAACAGATGATAGCACACGGTCTGAATTGAGTGGTGCCACAAATTGATACAATGTATACAAGGACATTGAATAAGATCTGAATTTGGATCATTACTTTGTGCAAAGTCTAGAAAGGTGTTTACACCCACTTCATATGCATCAGATGACCTATCAGACAAAATCCATGCTTTATCCATCGACCATTACTTACCAACCTAAATAATTATAAAGTATTAGCAAAACTACAACTTTATAACTGATGATTGATGAAATATTTATATAAGATATAAAGAACAAAATGTTTACCCCAAATTACCGAGTACAAAGTAACACTAACAAATTCATTTTGTACTATGCTATAAAACAATGTTCAAGGGTAATAACCCATTCATAAAATCTAAAAAACCTATTCGAAACTGGAACAAACCCTAACAATGTTAGATAAATTATTGATGTTAGCCTATTCGATATCTTCTAACATTCTTGGTGTTAGCCTCAAAATCTTTGTCTTGTGCTTGTTGTAATTTAAGTTGAAGCACATGGTTGTAACATGAGAAAGCCTCATTGCCTATAATCGTAATCATCATTCAAAGAATGTATTCTTATCTAAGTTAATAATCGTATTTTACGTTACTTGAATTCGGGTGTGAGCATCAGATAGGAGTACATGTCTGAAATGATTATATTAGACAGAAGATTCTTAAAAGTCATATGCTAGTACCTATATGACAGACAAAAATTTTAGAAATAAACACTTTAAGAAACGAATGAAAAGTCGGAGCAACATATAGTTACAAAATTCGACTAAAATAAATAATAAGATAAGATGCCATTAACCAGTATACCCCGAGAACTGTGGATATTATGTATGGGGCATTTCTTGAGAGAGACTCAGCAAAGGAATGTCATGTTCAATCCAATGATAGCATCCATGCCAAAGTTATGGCAACCTACATTTATCAAAAACAAAAATTAAATTTCAAGAGGGAGTGTTCAGTTAAACTAGCAAAACAATAAAAAGGGAACTATACTACTCGAACGTAAGTATGAGTGTTGAATACATGTATTATTAGATTTTTTAAAGTTATTTCTATGCATTTAGAAGATCTTTGGAGGTCATATCCACATATCTATATGTCCGATACAAAATGTCAGATATCGATACTTCAAATAAAAAGAAGAATCCAAACAACATATAAAGCAGAAAAAGGAAGGAAAAGTTGTGTTAGTGAAACATTAAGTACCAATGCAAAGGACAGACCCATATATTTAAAGCCTCTTCACTAATGAAAAGTCCACAACCAACAGCCATAAGTAACCAAAAGTAAATCCATCTGAAACATGGCAATTAGGTAAAAAGTTGAAGCCATTCTAGTTAGCAAATGAAATACATATGTGGGAACTGGGAAGCAGAGGAACCTCCCTGACTCCTCATTTTTTTTAAACAAAAGAATCCCAAACATAATATAACCTTCCAAAAATCCTCGAAATATATATTATTGTAGGGTCATTCAGACCTATATCGCTTGGACTCGGAAGTGAGCAATGGATATGGGATTCTTTTTTAGGTTTATCCATGTCGAACAATGATACTTCAAGTCAAGTAAAACAAGATATGTCTGTAAACATTTCAACAAGCATAAAAAACATATATCACAAGACAATAAAAGTTTAACATTTTTTAAACCAAAATACATAATCCATCAAAACCCAAAAATCAAAAAGAGATCAAGAACTAGCATAAGAGTCCACTGAAGTAAAAAAAACCAAAATAACCCACTTAAACAACCTATGAAATGAACAAATCAGTAGCGATTAAACAAATAATAGAAAATGAAACAAGCATGCATGCAACAAATCTCGATTCAAAAAAACATATATGAAGTAAAAGCATCAAACCCATTAAATCAGACAAAATAGAAATCAACAAACCCACAAATGTTGGAATAGAGAACGAGGATTACCTGTGGAAACCCTTGATTTTTGAGTCCCTCGACTGCGTTGTGGTGAATGGTCAAACCGGTACTGGGAGGTTGCAAAGACAAAAAGGGAAAACAGAGAAAAATGGGAGAAGCACAGCGTAAACTTTTGTTAACTAGGGGGAAGCAGAAGCGGGAAATTAAGGATGAAAAATAAGGGGGCGGAATTAGAATACGACTCCTAAAGATGACACACAAAATTCATTTGTACTCCGTGTTTTTCTAAAATTTTTGGATTATGACTATTAAATATGACACACATTATTGTAAGTCATAAATTGTTCAGATTTTAAAAAGCATGACATTTTTTATGACACACATGTTTTGCAAGTCATAAATTAGCGTGTGTCATCGTTCGTGTGTCATTAAAGGTATATTTTCTTGTAGTGTATTAACCTTTAATTAGATGGGGGTACAGATCTGAGATAGAAGTTTGAAACACTTTTAAAGCATTTTTCAATCATAGGACTTTCTTTTGTCAGCTCATGCAACTAGTTGCTTCTTTTCTTTTATGGTTATGGGGACTCTGGGCATAACATTAATTCACCTCATTAGCTTTCGCTTTTCCCATCATGTTCTCTGTCACATTTTCTAGAGTCGTACCTAATCCTTGGAGTTGACTTGGATTACCATACTTCCCAACATGTTCTTGATCATATATTTTCATCGCATTGGCGGCACAATCAACATTCTAATTTTCACTTGAAGTCTTCATCTTCTCTTGGATAATAGGATTCTCTAACAATTTCTCCCCATATATCACTGTAACCATCATGCTCATCAACTTGGACATCTGTTCTATGGATTACACTTGGAACTTCCTTGCTTCATCAATCATTTCTTGTTGGGTCTTTACAAGTTGTTCTTGGATTCTCTCATTCATTACTTTCTATCTTTCCAAAAACACACCCCGAGTAACTTCAATTTGCTTTCAGAGCTTTTGTCATAGTATCCTTCATGAGTTACTCTCATGTTTTCTTGATTGATTCATATAAAAATGCTTAAATTAAAGCAGTGCGAATGCAAATGTGGATGCCAAATGCAAATGCAAAAGGTGTTAATTCCAAAAGTGACCACCATAGAACAACCTTCATTTAGACAACAAGATTTCATTACACCATGTAGTCAAAATACAATTGTGATTCTTCATTTCTTCATTTCCTTGAGTCGTACTCTTCATGGAATCTAACATTGCACCCAAAGTTGTCGGCATATTTTATCACCTTTGATGACGCCAGATGTCCTTAAATTGAATCTTAAGATCTCCATTTTTACTTCCAACGTGAAGTGGTCTTCATGTTTTTATGAAGATTATTTTTGTCCATGGTATGACTGTATATATCTTCTGGGGGATCATCTTGGCCTTTTCTCCTTTAAAGGAAGTCTTCAATCAATTTCAGATTTCTTCATTCATTGGATGTCCTTCCTAATGGATTGTTTGAACATCTTTGGATCTCCCGATTTTGACTACATGGTTAAGAATTTCTTATCTCATTATGACCAGCCTTCTTATTAGTCAATCACTTGCGAATTAACACCTTTGAATGACATGAAGATGTGAATGCAATAAAATCAAAATAAAATAGACATAGAACAAAAAAGGGTTAGTGCACATAAGATAAACAACAAGATAATAAGTATCAAAATCATTAAATAAAACCTACCCTCACATGATGACTACCCAATCATGCTTTAGTAGATCCTACCCAACAAGATATATACCCGGTGCCCCCTTGAGCTGTCGGACCCTCAATCCTGGCCCATCACAGGCTTTTGGGATCGAGTTCAATTTCGAGGGAACACACCTCTTTATGTTCGTGCGGAGGTGAATACCATCACAAGGACCATAAGACGTGAGCTCCATGAGCGATCCACTATTCCATGTGAAGGTGAAAACCACACGAGGGAGTAGTTTCTCACTCCTACTTAAATCGGACAGAGCGGAGTTTTAACTCATGTTATGATAAAGCAATTGTGCAGTGTGTAAGGAAAACTGAAAAACACACAATCATATCAAATTGAAATCAAAACTCAAATTCCTTTTAAGTCACACAATTAATCTGAAAACATTAACAAATAAGTCAACGAAACTACTTAGTAGTTAATTAAATTAAACAAAAATTATAAAACCAAACAAGGGATCAAAAACCAAATTAGAACGAACTTGTAAATTTCATTGCAAAGACAATTAATTAATCGACTATCGGCCTGACCCTCGAAAAAAAGTCCTAGTGGAGTCGCCAAGCTGTAGAAACGATTTTTTTAAGATTTGAGATTTTAAAAGCCACACCATTTTTAATTATCTTCTTTTGATTGATTTTTAATTAAAAACAATGTGATTTAGAAAACCTCTCGTTTCAAAAAATATGGGATTCCTTTTTAAAATAAAACGTACGGTTCGAGCAGTCGCCACCAATCTTTGATTAGGGTGTGATTGGACACCCAAAAACATTTTACCATTTTAAATAAAAAATTAATTTTAATTAAAACGATAAAATTAGGTATGTGTTACCAAAATTCGAGTTCGGGAGTCGGTTACGCGTGGGGAAGGATTAGCACCCCCACAACACCCTAAATCGGCACCTAATCGATAAATTAATGTCTTTGCAATGAAATTTATAAATTTTAATTTAATTTAATTTATGATCCCCATAAAACAACAAAATATGAATTTTACAATGAAATATAATAATATTAAATTATTTCATATTAAGAAGAAACAAATCCCTCATAACTTGAGGTAATCAATTCTTACTCCAATCGAAATAAAAAAATATTATTATTTCATTATAATATTCAAATGCACCAAAATAAACTAAATTTAAATTACCAAGCCTTTTAGAAAGATGAAGAATATTTGATTATTTAAAAATATCGAGACCATATCTTAGATGAGTTCTAACAATATTTTCTCGAAAAATTTAAATAACCGAACATTTCTTTTTCTTTCATTCTCAAATTTTAAGTGACTGATCACTTTTTTAAAGTGACACTGATGATATACACTTTTAATTCAAAATCGTCAAAAGTGGCTCTCTAATAAGTTAAGACGAGCCACTCAGAACAATTTTAAATTAAAAGGATATAACCCTTAATCCAATTATGTATTTTTGTCAAGTTATGCACATGACGATATCATGCATATTGCTTAAAAAATAAATTAAACCTAAATCTATGCGTATGAACGACATGCTTAAAATAAATATGTTGACTGAATTAAATAACATGTTACAACATGCTTAACACACCAAAATACAACCAAGATGAATCACATATACAAGCTAAAGAAACCAATGTAATGTCTAAAATAAACATAACAAAAGTTGAAGATTACTAACATAAAATAAAGCAAAATATTATGGTCTGAAACAAACGATTTAAAAATATAAAAATATAGGCATCACAACTACAAGGAAACTATGAACATTTAGAGCCAAAATGAACATATAAAAAACTAAGTTACAGAAAATGAACTCACAAAACAGGAACATACATATGCTCAAGGGACAAAAATACACAAGAAATAAAACTATAGGTTAAATGCGAAAATTCATACAAAACCAAAATAACGTGCTCACGGACTAAAAAAAGAAACCATGAAATTAAAGTTTAAATGTAAAAACAAAATGGAATTGAAGAAAGCTTAGTTTAGGACTAAAAAAGAAAATGCGTAAACCTAGAAGCTACAAACAGAAACAAAAAAATAGTTTAAAGACCAAAATGAACTTAAGTAGAAACCACAGTGACCTCTAGCCCAAATAAACCATACGCAACCGGGATACCCAAAACACCCAGATGACATCGTTTTAATGTGCTAATACATATAATATTTTAGTTTACAAATCTGAACCGTAGGCCCCCATTTCACCTTCAACCAAATCCCTCTTCTCTCAACCCTCTCCCCCTCTCACAGCATCGCAGCTCTATTCTTCTTCTACTTCCTCGATTAAAAACCTCTCTTCAAACCATACAGCCACCGTGACTGTGGTTGCTAAGGGCTCTGATTAGGGTCAATAATCCCTAGGCAACCCACCTCGAATCAATTACCCCAAAAATCTCATCTATTGAACTTGTTTCACTCCCAAGCGAAAGAAAATGAACATGCAAAACCCCAAAACAGATCCTCTACCCTTTAAACAACCCATGAATCAAAAAGGGTTTTAGAAATATCTTTGATCCGAAGGGTTGCAAGCTCCAATTACGAATAAAAAAAGAT